TATTTCTCCCTATGGGGATTCATGGAGATTGTAATGTTTTAACAGTTGAATTCACAAGTTGATATAAACTAGACCACCATCGAAAACCTGAAAGCACTGTATGGCCGTTTCGTCCCAACATGGGACTCCTCAGCAATATGCTTTATTTTTTCGTAATTAGTTTTAATACTTTCAAATATAATAACAAGTTTTCGCAGAGTTTGAATATCATATGAAATACATAATTTAGGCATGTTATATTGTTTTGTAAGTAAAGTGCTTTTACTCAGTTTTATTTATTTATTCATTCATTAATTTATCACCATGTATTAGGATTGGATAATAAAGATTACGCATTCATTGATAATTGTAATATGTACTAATAATCATCTTCATTTTTATACTCATATATGTTAACACAATCAGATAAAAATAATTGACTTCTTAATGTCTGTTTACGTTGAATACTTTCTTAATGTAATATTCATAAGATAAAGTTATCATGACTTATCACTAATTTGATTTATTGACACTTCTCTTAAACATACTTCAATTTAATAAGATTAGATTATTTATGAGTGTACTTTTGAGTATTTTAATCTACACTTACAAAAGCAATTGAGCATTCTATCTAAATGTTTACCATATATATAAACGTTGGTTTTAACTCCAACAGTAAATAATGTATTTTAATACTTATCAATGGTGATCAAAGATTTTCAATCAAATAGTGGTCACATTACGACTTGACTAACTTGATTATTACTCTGAAACCAATAGCCATGTATTAACATACATAGATGTGATAATTTGAATTACTTTGAGAAAATCATCACTTTCATAATCATACGTAAGTACCGACCATCATAAGACTTTATTCAGTTGCCTTCTAAATCCTTACAATAGTTGTTACTGAATAGTAAAGCGGAATTATTTGATAAATAAATTGACGATTTTAATTTAGGTAATTTATGTCAACAAATTGGGGATTTCACATTAACTGAGAATTATCAGTTACAAAATATTGTGGCACAGTGAGTAAAGCGTTTACATACGAATATATATATATATATATATATATTCTTCCTCTGATGTGCTTATTCGAGTACTTAGGTATTCAAAGTTACTATGAAAAACCAGTCACTTGTGCTGTAAATATACGTAAGTTTATGAAAATTTGAATAAAGCCAATATAACAATTGAAGAAAAACAATATGAATTCATTATATTTCGTCTTTACTCATCAGCTGCTTACAATCTCATAGGTATTGAAATCTCATACAGCATGTAATTGATGAAAATGATCAAACTTTGGCAGTTTGAAGTTAATAAAGTAGTGTTATAAGTATTTTGGTACCATGCACTCCATAAAGTGATACAAATTAACTAAATATTCGATATGTTTAAAGTGAATTAATTGTTATTAGACTGATATTTATGTAGAATCTATCTCGTCAGATGAGTAGTATTTTTTAAAATATAAATATGTACATTGTATAGTTAAACACAATAAATTCTAACGAAATTAATAAAATTGTAAGTCAAAGTAGTTAATTTAATTTAATTATAAACTTGTATATATATTACTATTATTATTACATTTTTTAGTAATCCTGAGATTTGCTTACGATTGATTTGACTTAATTATAAAGTTTCAATGGTTGAGATCATGAGTTAATTGAAGCTAAACCACCATAGAAAACCTGAAAGCACTGGACGGCCGTTTCATCCCATTGTGGAACTCCACGACCCGCCTCACAGGATTGGAACCCAGGACCTATCAGTCTCGTGCCAGGCGCTTAACTAATCGACTAATGATCTCAACTATTGAAATTACTACAATCTCCACAAAACTCATCTGATACTAACCAACATATGCTCACTAGTGATTGGCTTCAAGAGATACGTCCTGGAGTCCTAGTGAGAAGCAATGACTAGTGGAGTTCAACCGGATCAGTTGTGAGGTAGTAACTCACCGAAGACAGTGGTGGATGTGTCGCTCAATTTCGTGGATTAGTTGAAGTAAGATATTAACACTGTTGGATGCCGAACAGCTCAGTGGTCTAGTTGGTTAAGCGCCTGGCTCGAAACTGACAGGTTCTGCGTTCGAACCAAGCGAGGTGGGGACGTGGATGCGCACTGCTGAGAAGTCCCACAATAGGACGAAACGGTCGCCCAGTGCTGCCAGGTTTTCTATGGTGGTCTATCTTCAATTGACTCATGATCTAAACTGTTGAAATTACTACAATCTCCACAAAACCCATCTGATATTAATTATAAAAGATAATAAATTTATTGAATTTATTAGAAAACGCCTTGTTTCCTAATCACCGTTCTGCATTTCCAAAAAAAGCAAAAAAAAACAACAAATAGTATAAGTTGGATAATTATTTAAAATAATTTATATCCAGATACATGGATTTTAATTCAAAATTTGTTATATGAACAAGATCGTATTGGATCGTTCATAAACCAATTATTAGTTATGTAAAAAAACAGAATTGGTATCAGTGATGAAAATTAATATGGAACGCTTTTTAACGGTTTTACAATACCATAAAACTATGCATGTCAAATGGTAATAATTCTAGTTAAAAGAAATAACTCTAATCATATGCAGTTTATAAATCTATATATTTTATAAAAACGTTGCCTGTTATTTTGTTTAATGCTCCGAAAAGAACATTTTGCTAACCAAAAAAAAGAATTACAGTTGCTGAGAAAGTATCATTTAGAACTTAACGAGAGACTAAACTCTTTAAATTATAAATTCAATTCATTGAGTTATACTATATAATTGAAGTTAATGCTGATTTAATTCATAGTAATTTCAGTTTAGTCGAAATAACTCTATTGACCTATTGTTATCTTGATCTGTAATTCATTTTTTGAAATGTTATAGGTTTAATAAAACTAATTTGAATCAAATATGATAATGTGAAATTGTGTTAATCTTTTCAAATTTATTACGCTTTTCAACATAAACTTACTATGAATGATGTACCATTTGAAGTTTGTTCTTTTCGTCAGAGTACCTTAATACAATTACTTTTGAAGTTGTCAAGACATGGTTCATGTTGTTTTTATCTGATATAGAAATACGATGTTTATTTCGCTAGAGAATTTACACAGATGAAGCTTTACATTATATAGTCGTAAAATATATTCACCATAATTCATAATGTAAAATTTCCAACATCATACAATGATCATAGAGGGGTTTTGTGGATATTATAGTAATTTTAATTGTTGAGATCATGAGTCAAATGAACCTAGACCACCATGGAAAACCTGGAAGCATTGAAAGGCCGTTTCGTCTTATTGTGGGTCTCCTCAGCATTTCGCATCCACGATCTCGCCCGGCGAGATTCCAACCCAGCACCTATCAGTCTCGCGCATGAACGCTTAACCTCTAGACCACTGAGCCGGAATCCAACGGTGTGATTGTCTAACCTTAAGCAAACCACGACATTTCGCCACCGTCCATCGTGGATGCACACTGCCGAGGAGTTCCACAATAGAACAACATGGCCATCCAGTGCTTCCAGGTTTTCCATCGTCGTCTAGCTTCAATTTACTCATGAATTCAGCTATCGAACCTTATAATGAAGTGGACAATGCGATACAAAATAACAGAATTTGCATGTATGGATAAGCGAATCGAAATGCTTGGAAATACTACTATTAAAGGAATATTTATTCGTAAAGGACGTTGTTCTGAGCTAATCGTTAAAGAGATATAACATATATGAAGTGTAGTCATTTCTGTCAAAAACTCACTCAAATCCATGACGTATAATAAAATATTCCAGGCTGAGAAATCTTGTATTTAAACAAAATAATTTGTTTACATTCTCTTAAACCTTCAAGAACAGATTTGTTAGAGGATATTATGTTTTTAAAGGTTAACGTTTTCGTAGAACTTTAATAATAAGGAATAACTACACTTAGATTAATAATAATAATAATAGATAAAAGGCCTTGATTTTAAAATCCCTTATTATAAAGAGTGATTCAAAAAACTAATTTTTACTGCACAACAAACCCGACAAATAAACATCTGAACTCATAGAATCGTGAGACTGATGGGGGAATAAGTGTTTTATTCTCATTATTATAAGTATTCTTAACTGATCAATATTTGAAATTTTTTATAATGCTCATAATTATGAAATTACAGAATATTAATTGCTCAGCAACTGTACATCATATTCAGGTTACTTTCACCCATTTTGCATCTGTATAAAATTCCACTTTCATCTCATTTCTACACTAGATTTAATTAACAAAATATATAAATGAGTTCATTAGTATATTCCCTTTTAAATAATTCTATTGAAAATCTCCCAAACAGAAAGCTTTTATGGTAAACTCAAAATTATTTTTGGAGTCTTCTCGTTGTAACCAATCTTTCAGGTAGGTACACCATAATATTTGTTTTCACAATCCAGTAGTACTGATCACCAACAGATTCGTGAGAAATAGTCGATGCAGTTTTATTTAAAAATCTATGAACTTAAATTATTTATGAAAGAGAACATATATCAATCAGATGCATACTTTCTCGGGAAAAAGGTTCTAATATTAGAACCTGAACAAGAAAACTTATTTGAACTTATGTATTTTTTTGTTTGATATCTTTCATTTTATTCACACTTACCCTTTGAAAAAAATTTAAATTATTTATTTTTCAATATTTGAGATCATGAGTCACCACTATGAAAAACCTGAAGGCATTGGACTGCCGTTTCGTCCTATTGTGGGACTCCTCAGAAGTGCGCAGGTAGAAATTTATTAAAATGATTTTCTTTCCATCAAATATATTGTACAAAGTATGTAAAAATTTTTTTAAAAAAATAATGACAGTTTCTAATTCTTAATGAGTAATAATTATTAATCACTAATATTTACAATAAAAAAACGTTTTATTGGATGATACAATTGACCAATCAAAAAAGCCGAATTACTGATATATTTTACTCAGTGAGATAGCTTTACTCAGATAATTCAACGTAGTATATGGAAGAAATCTACTTCAATTAAAAAATTTATTACAGTCATTTAAACCAAGTTAGTGAAATAAATAATTTAATATAATAATAACCAGTAGAAGAAAAAAGTTTTTTATAATGTAAGTGTTGGATAAATATTTGTTGTTAAAATGATTACTTTTATTCTGTTGTTAATTCATCTTATAAACTTTTTGTATGATTTGGAGAAAATACTAATTATTAGACTTAAAACCTTTTTGATCATAAAAACCGATTGATGTTAGACCATTATTGAAAACCTGAAAGCACTGAACAGCAATTTCGTTCCATTGTGAGACGCCTCAGCAGTGCGCATCGACAATCCCGCTCACGGGATTCCAACTCAGGGCCTACGGTCTCAAGAGTGAACGCTTAACCTTTAGACTACAGAGCTGGCTGGCATCCAACGGTGGTAATATTAACTTAAACTAAATCACGAAATTGCACGACCATCTTCCATTGTACTGAGGTAGATACCTTTCTCTATCCGACACGAATTGTCTTCACTGATCACGGCTTCTCACTAGAACTCCGAGCATTGTCTCACGAAACTAGTCACTAGTTAGCATATGGTAAACCTTTTTATAAACTTTCTATTTGTATATGTAACTTTACTTCTATATTAGATTCAATTATGTCATTTATATTTATGCATGGTTTTATTACTATTTATTCTAAGAATGGAATAGATAGAAAGTGATGACTTCTTTAAGATATGACTAATTTTTGATTACATTAAAAATATCTATGTAAGGTTTTGTAATTTTTTGTTGGTGAAAATATCCTCCAATTCGTCAGGTTCTATATTACTATAGTTTTATTCTATAGAAATGTCTTTGATAATCCCTTTTTATTTGTTAAAATGATTTCTGATAATTTAAGGAAGCTATAAACAAAATCGTAAATCACTTACAGCATTAAAATGTGGCCATGCTATTTCATGACTCATTCACCTAATAATGTTATAAGGGTTGTATAATCCAATGATAAATATATCCACTTCAGAATCTTCATGTTGGGATAAAATATTTCTGTTGTTTACATTCAGTTTTAGCTAATTTTAGTACAGAATGAAAAAGAAATTTTAAATCGATTAAATGAACACTTCTATGCCCAATATACTTGAAGTAAAGACCATAACATGATGTAATCTAATTTATTATAGTTCTAGAGAACAGGTTTGCTTAATTTAGATTAACAGGCATACTTTTGCTTAGATTTATAATAATCCTTGTTAATTCAACTTTTCCAGATTACTTCTTTCTCGTTAGATTCTTGGGAAAAGGTAGTATGTTACATTTAATATCCTGGTGTTTGAGAAAAAATATTATAACCTAATTACTTACAGCTGACTGTTGATATAAATTACTGAGAAAAAATGACTTGTACTATGGTAATTAAAGCAGAATTGTCAGTTATATTTTATCAACTATACAAAATATTACTTACAGCCTTATAAATTAAATTCATTTAACAGGATATAGAAAGTAAATATATAGAATATATGTGTCACGTGTAGCTTTAACTGTTCAACTAAGCAGTTATATCTTATTTATCGTAGTTAAACACTGAAGTTTCTTCTAGACAGTAAGAAGAAAGTGCGTAATTAAAGAGGATAATTCGGATGGTTTTATGTTCTTTGACGTCCTAATGATCATATAAATAATGTCATAAAATTAGTTAGTAACATATTTAAATTTCCACACATGTGGATATCAGCTATTTCTTTGAATTTCAATGTTGGTACAACACACAAACTATTCAGTTCAGAAAAAAACACCGATTTTTCTCGTGTATTAAAAGATTATAAGTTAAATATTTACACATTACTGATTATATTCTCAGGACAGAGTGGGTTAGAGAATGCTGGTCGACGGCCTATGCTCCATTAGGAGTAACAGGCGTAAGTAAGTAGGATTATATTCTTAATTGAAAAACTAATTTTCATCCATAAGGTTTGTTATTCAGACTTTATAGATTTATGAAATTTATAATTATTAATGTAATAAAACAAAACGATCATTATAATCATTAAATATGAAATCAAAAACTCTTCCATCACTTAGTGACTACCCTTTAAAACAGCTTTTGAGTTTAATATTTACTTCCATGGTTCTGAATACATTGTAAAATGATATTACTATGCATTGAAAGTCATATATTCACAGATATTTATCATCTTCAGTTTACATAATATTAGATAACTTCATCTTAGCCACCATTACTTAAACCATTGTTTATAGAAACAAAATTCCAGTAATATGTCTTTTAAATTTTCACCTACATTTCAATCACATGTAGAGATATATTTTTTGGGTTGTAGACTAAAAGACTTTATTTAATTTATTAAAAATGATTGAATGAGAATCCAATTTTATTAATGTTGAACCTCATCTATACCTGGAAATGTACTATATCTAGGAATTTTTAGGTCTGTGAAATCACTTCATTTATACAAATAGTTAAAGCTGATATCACATATGCATTTAATTATTACTGGCATTTTACCAAATGATTAAACTGATAAATAGATGTAAATCATTGATGAGTTAAAGAAAAAAAAACAGACGGTCTGTTTATGTAATTCTACATACGTGATATCAGTTCGCTATTACTATATAAACAGAAAAATTTTACATCTATAAACAATGAATATTTGTGCAAATAATTTCGAACTTATTTGCCTTGAATTTCATAAAACATGACCCATCATCAAGTACGAATCAATTAAATGTATAATACTACTCATTGAATAACTTTTCTCTCTTTCAGGTTAACTCTAGTTAGTGATGCGAATGATGAAACTTAGTTCTTCATTTTATTTCGTATATTATTTTACGGCTAACTCTATTGTAAAACAGCTGTATAACAAAGTCAGATGCAGTGTATTTGAAGTTATTTCGTCCGTGCAATGGAGGCGAATAAAGAATGAAAATTGAATAGAAGCAGCTAGGCGAAATGTTACACGCCTACCCACTCTGATTAAGCATGAATCCCCATACAAAAAAATAGACAAAATATTACAATAAAACAAGTCGATAAATGCATACAACCAAAGTACACATCCTCACAGAAAATGTGCAATATAGATTGATACGTTTTGGGATACATGACAACATACATGGATTGATAAACAATAGATTATTAGTCGAGTTAGAATGAAACATTAAGTAATCATGACTTGTCATGGATAAAAAAAGGTAGACGTATGCTGTAGTTAGATAACATGATACACTATAAACTCAACTTGTCCAACCATATTTCTTTAAACTTAATACTCCGTTTTAATGTGTATACTATTATTCATCTAAAAATGACATGTTTTTTTCTAAAACTTCAAGTATTTAGTTGTTATTATAAACTATTTTTAAAGTAATCAAAACAATCCGCCAATGAGAATTCTATAACTGAGAACTAACAGAAAATTAATAGAATTCATTTTCGAAAAAATATTTTTGAAAAGGTTTTCGATAAAATACCATGTTACTTACTTTTTTTCTGGTTACCGTTTTTTTTAGCGAGTTAGTTTTCTACGAGATGAGGTCGTTAATCCAATACCCAACCCTTCTCCTTTATCCAGGCTTGGGACCGGCAATAGCCCCATAGGGACATTAGGGTCACATATGAATAGCTCCAATTACTCACATACTTTAATTATTCTTAAAATTATTTATGTAAGAATACTGTAGTTTGTATAATTGTCTGTATTATTCTTAAACAAAACTTACATAGTTACACACGAAATTTTATCATTAATCTATATCATATAGATTTTAATAAACTTATTTAGTAATGGGATTGTTCATAAGTTCTTTTTTATTACCTAAATCCTTTCCCCAACTGTAAACAACGTTTACCACCTTAAATTATTCTCTTATTTATTTTTAAACAAAAAAATAAATATCACATGGGTTTTGTGGATATTATAGTAATTTCAATGGTTAAGATCACGAGATAGTAACTCACTGAAGACGATGGTGGATGTGTCACTCAATTTCGTGGATTAGTTGAAGTTAGACATTAACACCGTTGGATGCCGGCAGGGTCAGTGGTCTATTGGTTAAGTGCTCGCGCGCGAAATCAGTGGGTCCTGGGTTCGAATCTCTCAGGGGGCCAGGTCGTGGACGCGCACTGCTGAGGAGTCCCACAATAGACGGAACGGCCGTCCGGTGCTTCCAGGCTTTTCATGGTGATCTAACTTCAACTGACTCATGATTTTAACCATTGAAAATAATGAATCTATAAAACTGAATCAATTATTTTTCATGCCATGACTTTTCATTTAATTAAAAACAACCAAAATGATTTCAAAAGAAAAAAAATCAGTATCATATTTGTATTTTTGGTTAGGATAAACATCAATCGTTACTTTTTATAATTTAAAAGGAAAAATTAAATTTTTCTTCACCTAAAAAGTATCACACATGAAAGGAAAATATTTTGGTTAATTACATATATACATTTTTCAAAATAAATATTTCATAGTAAGTAAAGATGGATAGTGGTTAGTAGTGGAATCCAGAACACACTAGCTACTATCTATTTTTGTTTATAATGCTTGTGAATTAAGACAATATCGATGCAATACGCCATAGTATGCACATAGACCAATAACAGACTGATCAATTTCAGTCCTAAACATCAACGGTAAGATTTAAGTAAATAATACCAAGTGAATTTCAGAAATTTCATAGTTTTATTCATTACTTTAATCATTTATCGTAAATTTGTTTTACACAGATATCAAAATTGAACGGTTATTTTTATTAGAACTTTCGTAGTTTTGGTCTTACATTAAATAGATATGTATAATTTGTTGAACTAAATGAAGACATCATATATACAATTTCAGTCTGTCGCTGCATGCATGTATGAACAATGAAGATTGCTAATGTAATTTGTTCGGAATGTAAAGTGAATGAATAACATATGAGTAGAACTTTGATTTAAGATAAACGGGCACATTTAATGGTTGACTATTGAATTCATTAGCTCATTAATCATTTACAAATTGGTGTAACGTTTTCATACTAATTTATTCTGCATATAAGAAAATTTGGCGAGACTATAATTTATGAACGAATTAATCAGGTATAAGATAGCAGGTTTCAGATTTTAGCGCAAAATTCATACACTCATTTGGTTAAGTACTGTTTTGACATTATAGCTGATGTCAGTTCGTGATGAAAACCCTAAATCTAATTCCTAACCCATACCATCAATCGTAAACCATAATTCTAATTCCTCACATTGCTTTATGACCCTCATTTAGTTCTAGTTAACAGGTGGATATTTTCAAGTTTATTTCGCGTTGCTCAAAGGTCGTCCATAAATTATAGTCTCACTGAAAATGTTTCTTAAATATTGAATGCATTAAAATGAATCACATCAATCACTGTAGAACACTGACAGAAGAAACTAATTACAAAATGATACATTTTCCAAAATAAAATGACATGAGACTTCATGTACAGCTTAAGTCATTTATGTATCATAATTGTTCATTTAAACTACAATAAAAATGCTGTTTTTTTCTGAAACATAACTAAAATTAGATAGAATTATCACTATAAATCTCAATGTAATGCTAATTTCTTCAGGTGACTTATACAAAATATGTTTGTGGAAAACAAGCCGTTGTAAGAGATACGTCTTAAAAAGCCTCCTCTCTAAACAGTATAGTTTTCATAGGACTAATCATGAACGAAGAGCTAATGTAATAGCAGAACTACACTTGAAAGCAGTTATGTTAAAGTAGACATAGTGGCTTATAGAATAATCTGAAATAAGACTAAATTCGCATATGATCCCAAGGATTCAATGTAATATTCGAAGTGAAATAAATCATTCATTTTTTTAAAAAAAAGTACATCAAACGATGTTTGGTGTCACATTCTAGCAGGTATGGTAAAAGATACAACCATAAAAAAAGAACGGTTGTAAGATGTCCTTTATTACTTCTCATTTTGATGACCTGGCGAGATATGTTGTATTGACAAACACTGGGAACGTTTATTCAGATACGGATTAGCCTTACATTTTTTATTAAAAATAATTTCACATAAAATTACTTTATACGGTATACGGATCCAACACATAAAGTGAATAACATTGCTTTCAATTAGATCATAATCAGGAGTTACTCTAATTAACATAAATATTAATATGCATGTACGAAATTATTAAACCAATCAATGTAGTTTATCAGTCAGTGGGATAGATTACATAAATAAACGTAATAAGTAGAAAAGTACACAGAGATAACGTAATAGCAGGTGCATTAGTTGTGATAAGAATAATAAAGGCTTGAATCAATGTTTCATGATAGGAAGTATATCAATGACTTGAAATATTTACACTGAATAAACATGAATTAAAAACCATTAAAATTACGTAATAAGAAATGTTCAGATTTAGAAAAGTAAACAATCAAGGAGTATGGAAAATAATCGAGAATAAAGTCTTTTGTTATTGTTTATTCGGCAAAACAAGATATAAGGTTAATAAATAAGAACTTTCGTCTAAATTTGAACGAATAGTTTCACAATATTTGGGCGCCGAGTTAATTTGAGACATTAAAAAGAAGAATATATATTTGTAAAATCTCAGGATTTACTTAAAATTCATTCGCTGAGATTTTACAGATATATTCTTCTTTTTAATGTCTCAAGATATAAGGTTGTTACAATTTCTTATGAATACAAAGACTTGGATTGTTAGCCCGAATCCTCATAGCTTCTATTATGTGTAAGAGACAATCTATTTCAATCTACCACATGACTGCTATCGATCAGACATAAGAGAACAGAGCTGCATGTTGTTCGAAAGATACGCGTTCCTAACCACTAAGGAAGGCATTCACTAAACGGCTGGCTCGGTTGTCTGGTTGTGTGCCCAGTACAGCTTTCTATACTGGAGCAGCTGATTTCGTAGATGCGCATGGGTTTACCAAAAGCAGGTAACTTATCCTTTAGTTTAAGAATCACCATAGGTCGTCTGGAGATCAATAAACAGACACTAACTACATTAAGTGTTCTCTTCATTATTCTAGTCAGTCTATTTTGTAGCACGTCACTAGCTATGTCTCCGTTGAACAGTGGCTTCAGGAAGAGATGTTTCTTACTAACCGTTGATGTCGCTATTTTCTGGTTTATTACATCGAAGTGTTTTTAGAACATAGTCCATGGATAACTCATTTTAACCAACATACAGTGAATAACCTCTAATCCCTTGTCCATAATGTCGTCTGGGCATATCTTCTTAGCTCTAAATGAAAGATAACTAATTAGGTTTCTCTTATGATATGTGGGTACAATGCTCAAGAAATATGTATACTGGCTTTCTGAAGAACGTTTCATATACGCACTGTTGCCGATGAAACCACCTTATTTTCTGCTTAAAAAATGCTGACGAAATGCAGTTTGTTATCAAATTCCTTCTCAAGCATAAATCTTATTGCTGAGTGTTTATTGCTAAATAGCTTTACGGATTTATGTATTACAAAGTGTTTTAAAAATATGATTCTCAAGTATCACTATTATTGTAATGTTGATGGTTTCTAAATTCCATTTTCTGTTAAAAATATTATATAGAAGTATCATTAATAAAATTTTCAAAATCAGTTGCTTGGTGGGATATTGACAGAGGTTATTAAAATAATATCATGAATTATTTCACACGATACTAGTATATGACAAATCGTTTACTCAATGCATAGAATCACAAGGCTTACAATAATAAACATTCTAATATTCATAGTCTTGCTAGCTATTTAAGTCCCTTTTAAAAAACTGATCTTCTTATAATTACCAGGATTATTGGGTTCCCCAGACAATTGTAATAGCAATTTTGATAATTGAATTCATTAGTCAATTGGTGCTAGACTACCATGGAGAACCTGGACGGTCGTTTCGTCCTAGTATGGAACTCCACAGCAGTGCGCATCCACGATCACGCCCAGCGGGATTCAATCCCAGGACCTATCAGTTTCGCACGCAAACGCTTAACCTCTAAACTACTTACCCGGCCGGCATTCAACGGTGTTGATATCTATCTCCAACTAATCCACTAAGTTGCGCCACCGTCCGCCATCGCCATCAGTGAGTTACTATCTCACGAATGTCACACTGCTAAGGAGTCACATACTAGGATGAGATGGCCGTCGAGTGCTTCAAGGTTTTCCATGATGGTTTAGCTTCAAATGACTCATGAATTCAATTATTAAATTACTATAAAATCCACAAAACTCCTCTCTAATTATAATTGTAATAGCGTTGGTGGTTTTTTATATATAAAATGTTGTTGGCAGATAATTGGATAAACGACCCAGTTTAATAAAAAACATATTTTAAAACATGAAGTTTTTTTAAATTTAAAACAAGGAAAGTTTGTTACATTTCTATTACGTCTGAGTGGAAAAGTATTAGATAAATGTTCTTTAGAAAAATTGCAATTCATCTACACATACTACTTAAGATAACATTTAACTAAATCAGAGTAAAACCAATGAAAATTAAAGAAACCAATGGATAAACATATACATAAAATTATCAAAATACTATGCTCTTTTTATTCACTTACATTATGAGATCATAAAGAAAATCTTAAGTTTAGTAATGAGAATTTTCAAGAGATTACACTTTTGGAGATGTATAATACAAATGTGAAGATTTTGTTATTATTATCAAACAATAGTGACGAAAATGCTGAAAGAAAGAAAACAGCTTACAATAATCCTAATGATAAGTTTTAATGAAGCTATTCAGATTATAATACAAAGTAATACTGAAAATAACTGCTCAAATTATCCTTAAAGTCACTCATAGCAAGTTCCTTATGATAATCAGAAAATTTCAACAATGAAAAGATCAATTAAAATTTCTGGTAAATTATTTTTAATTAGGCTGAACTGTCAATGATAACTTTTGAAAAGTTAGTGCATAAAAGTCGGTTTGAAGTTATAGGGTTTCGGTTAGTAAACAGCTGTAGCAATGGTTTCAAGATTTTCCCGAAATTATTATTCTTTTTCTACAAATATGTGGATTATATATAAACTGATTGTTGATGCTTCCTCAAAGGAGATATTTTATTTAACTCAATTATGATAAGATTCATCCCATATCCTTTTTTCTTCTTTCCTACCGTATATTATGTTTGGTACAGAGTAATTTTTGATCAAAGAGGTCTTCTGTTTGTCTGTAAATCGAATATAATGTCTTAGAATTTCAAGTTTATTCAGTTTGCAACGTAGTCTTAAGACACAAAATCATCCATTCAGTCATCTTATTATTAGGAAAAATGTGTTTGTAAATTTTGAAATATTGAAAAGAAATTCTAAAAATATTTAAAGCATAGTAGCCATAGAAAATAAGTAGTTTCTTAAGGGAATAACCCATTAGGTTCTAATTTCAAAAAATCTAATTAATTCATGAATGATTTATTTCTAGTTTTAATTTATTGGGTTATTATAATGCTTTCATTCACTATAATCATATTTCCCTTTATTGTTTGTATTTTTGTTTCAGAATGATTAAATTGGCACTACATTTATTGATCAGTCTATATATATTAAGCGAAGTTTCCTGTGAAGGTAGGTTGAACTATAGTTTTTGCTAAAACACAACAGTATTTCTATTTTTAAATAGCTTTATAAGTCTTAACATGCTAAATAATACGTATAAATAATGATACCATTCGACGGTTTCTGAAGGTTTACTGATGGTATATAATCCAATAAATTGTTATTTGAATTTGCTACACAGAAACATTTCTGTAGTTGGTTTATCCTTTTTCATAAAAGAAGGAAATGTTACGTGTGAAAAGTTTCTCCTATAGACCACTTATCTTGTTTGTTTAATTTGCTAAATTAAACTTAATTCAGTTCTCAATGTACTTCAACTGTCGAAGGTTCAGAACAAAATTGAAAAACTAATAGATTTTCACCTTTAATTTTTTGTATCTTCTTCTTGTTAATATTATGGGCTGAAGTTTGATCATTGTTTCTTTGGGATCCTGGATTTCACTGTTAGCTAATATCCAAGTTTACTTAAAAGGATAAAAATATCTATGCTTTATTAAATCGAAAGCACATACGTCTAATATGATTAATAAATAAACGGCTCTTATCAAAATGCAGTTTTGATACCATTTCAACAATAAGTTGAATGGAAATGAAAAATAGGGAAATGTGTCTAAATGCTGTAGTTTCTCAGTAGATTGAGAAATCATTAATTCGTCTACATTCATTGATCAGATAACATTTGAGAATATATATCACTTTTAAGTAATAAAAAACAGAAATAAATTAGTGGATAATAGTGTTAAATTTTAAATTTGTCTCCTTTTAGCTTGACAGTTTACTCAAATTAATCCATTCTTATAAATAGACATCGTCATGAACAGAAACTAGCTGAACAATATGTTTCACGCTACTTCGAGGTTGTCCTAAGTGAATGGTACTGGTAAATAATAAACTAGAATGAAACAGCTGGTTAATGCTTACTGATAATAAATGCATCTCCAGGTGATGTCAACAACGGAAACTGTAATTGACTTATTTCTCTGGTTCTTCATGTAATACATGTTGATATTATATGTATGATCCTTTTAGAACAGTCTAAAATAAGTAGTATATTTTAGATTAGACAAAATATCCAAATCCTTAAAACTTCTTTGCTTTGTTTTTCGGTGTTCATTTATTTGTTTAATTATTGTTTCTAAATTAAGAACTTAGTAATTAAGATAGGTGGGATTGCTTTAGTTTTACTGTGATGACAATAGCTCTAAATAGTTCTTTCATATTAGAAAACTCAATATGATACGTAAATAAATTGTATGATTAGAAAGAAATTTTTGATCAGTGATGATTTTATTGGGCTTATTTATGTACCATATTGAAAAAGAACGTTTAAGAAGATATGTATTTTTCACTAGTTGAAATGATGATTCAATTGAAGCTAGACCACCATGGAAGACATGGAAGCACCGGACGTCCGTTTCGTCCTAGCTTGGGACTCCTCAGCAGTACGCATCCACGATCCCTCCCCCCGCGAGATTCGAACACAGGATCTATCAGTTTTGCGCGTGAGCGCCTAACCATTAGACCACCGAGTCGATGGGGCATCCAACGGTGTTAATGTCTAACTTCAACCAATCCACGAAATTGCGCTACCGTACACGATTGTCTTCAGTGAGATGATATCTCACAACAGACCTGGTTGAACTCCACTGGTCACTGCTTCTCACTAGAACTCCAGGTAATGCCTCTTGAAGTCAGTCACTGGTGAGCAGATGATTATTATCAGAAGGAGTTTTGTGGAGATTTTAGAAATTTCAATATATTTTTATTAATTCCTCTCCAGGATTTGTATTGCAATGCGAAATATTCATCTAGAACATTTGAGTAGTTATAAATTATAAAATAAGATTATGGGTTTTTAAAATAAGGAATAATGATTGTAATAACAATTATTAGAAAAAGTGGTTTCTCTATATACAATCATTATAATTTATGGCTAATTAGTTATATATTCACCTATGAAGTAGAACTAGAGTTTATTCATATAGTCAACGAAATGATTAAGTCATCATCAATGAATGTAAATGGAACTATATGTGTTAAATGGAATTTGGTAATAAGTATAAGTTTTAGTTACCTAACCAGATAATATTAAATTCATCATTATCTAATATGATTAACATAAGAGTGATTGCTATGACGAATGAATAGTAGGTGATCATAGAAAGAATGTAGAATCAACAGATGATTTCTGTATTCAGAATTTTATTTGGAAAGCTTTGATTACAATTGGTTTAACCATTTTCTAAACAGAGCAGTACATTCCATTGAGTGCTTCAATTGTAAAATGTATGTGAAAGTGAATGACAGGATTTCACGTTTTATACTTAAAAAACGAAATGATCATGAACTTGTAGCTTGTCTATTTGTTTTCTTTCTTGAACATGATTGACACTGCTTCAAAATTGTGGAACAACTTAGTTATATATAGGTATGTTCTATAAGTTATCTAGTTGAGTGATTATGAAAAAAAACTTGATCAGTTGGTTTAAAAATGATTAGTAAAAGAAAATCAATTGGACGTCGCTTGTGTAAAAAGAGCGCAAACAAAGCCATGAGAACATCAGGAAACCTTCCACATTTTGTGAAATACTCTATGTTTTGCCAAAAGATCCAAATGTCAGAATAAAATCTTTAACAGGAAATAAAGCTCAATGCTTTTTTTAAACTTCACGTAATAGATCCATTCAGTTTATTTATTGTTAATGTCTAAGTCATTCAAATTTTCAAGTATTATGCTCTAATCTTTTTGATACACATCCCTGAAGTTTTTGTTTGAAAAGTTTCTTTCTTAATTAACATAAGGCATATTAACCGTGTACTTAATGATATGCTTCAAAATGAATGAATTCTACATAAACACCAACGAAACAACATATAATTACTAGTATAATTAATAATTCCTAATTACCTCTCACTTTTCATGTCATGCACAAACGTTTCTTTAAATAAATATTACTTTATTTTTGCACCAGTGTAATTTGGAGTTTTTTTATGTTTACATAAAGACGTCGTAACACAAACACTATGTACTTAAGTTTGAATATTATTCTGAAACTTCATTTCACCGAACAATCCCTTGGTAGTGATCGATCGGATGTTTGCTATATCTTACTGGTGTATCCTCTAAGCTAGTTAATTTTAACTTAGTATCAACGAAGTAGTTCAACATTTCCGAAAAGCTATAATTTGGTTAACTTTACTGATGTGATGTGTTGATGGGTTCTAAATAGTATATAATTCAGAGTTACTACTTTCTATTATCTTTGATACCAACTATTGTATGCTAGTCTCTATATATTTAATTATGGGTATTTGCTTGGATTAGCTGAAGCAATAATATATAAATTTAGATAGATTTAAACAGTATGTCTCATTCCCAGTATAGTTTCATAAATCATATTATGAAATAACATAGATAAGTAAACAGAAATATAAATACTTATTTGTACCAAAGTTGTAGACGAATGGCGGTAGTTATTAACTAGAAAATATGCAAAAATAGTATTCATTGAAAATTTTTAGTACAAAATGGTTACATAGACATGTATCAAATTTAGTTGGTTACGTTCTGTAATTTCTGTTAAATTTACTTGTTGAATTATTTGATGGCCCATTATATTCTGAAAGTTTACGTAGCGAATAATATTATGTGAGTTCCTGTCTACTTATATAAAGCAAATAACCGGTAGATCACATTGATTATAATTCTCAAAAGTACTAACTGATAATCAGCAAGGTGAAGTTGATTATTTATTTGTTGATTTAATTCAGTTACTTATATCAAATGATTTGGATTCAATCATATTACAGTTCACAGATTTTGTCGAGTTGTTAATATCAACCATAACATTCAGCAATCCTTCGATTTATATAAGTTTTTTCTAGTCCAAACAAACAGTTGTATTTAATTCATTTTTGCATTAGTTGGTTGAATCTTCTCATTGATGTTCAATTCCTGGGGTGAATATCAACTCTGAAATGCAGGTACACCCAATTGACAAGTCTTAAATAGGACAGAATGCTCATTATGAATTCCACTGCTAGCTACCAGTTGTTATATTTGTTGATTTCAGTATGAAATGATTCATCATTGTGTAAATGTTATCGGATATAAAGAATTCTATATCATAACTCTGAGCTATTTACTAATAAATTGAACCATAACTACTTTCAACAGCTTTATTATCAAATGATATTTATTCATGAGAACTTATTATTTACTTCCTAACAATAACAATAACATTTCCATAAGTCTTAAGTTTCTTTTATAATATATATATATATATATCTGTTTCCTTGAGAAGTGATTTATGAATGGGGATAAATTTGCTTGCAGGAGGAAAAAAATGGTTGTTGTCCAAATGGGAATAAATTGCTTATATGGACATAATCGAAACTATTTTTATTTTTGTTTTTTTTTCAATTATTCAGCTGACTAAAACCAAATATGTTTTTCTCTATTAATTTATAATAAGAAACATATTGTATAATTTAAGTATCTCCCACAGTCTTTTCAGGCAGGTTGAAAAACTTTTTTCTTTGGTTAGATTTATAGAAAAAGTGGTAAGTTTATTTTTGTTCGAATAAGATGGAGGAAAATTATCAACTTACCAGCTAAAATTGGTTAAACAATGGCTCTTTTTTTGGTAAAATATTCACTATCCGTGTACATAAATGATATTAAGCCTGGTCCTAGTAGTAATCTGACACTACCATGATAGGATAGATATTCATTCATTCTTAACTTTCAATAAGCGTCTAGCGAAAAGAAGTCCATAAAATTGACATTTTGATTTATAAATAAGCATTTCATGTTCACGGCTTGGAAATACAAACTGCTGCAACAGTTAACAATTATGTTAAAAATCACTTTTATCCTTAACAAAGATGTCCTTAAACTATCTCAGAATTAAATGTCTAAGATATTTCAGTTCTCTTTTTAGTGATGATAAGTAGAATTTCGACCCAGAATTAATGTCATAATGAATGTCATTCAAAAGAAAGAACTCTAATTAATTTTTGAATATCATTACTGATAATAATTGAAAGTAAACTCTATTGGAAACATATTTAATGTATAAATGGATGTTAAATAATTTGACTGAATTTATTAAAACTTTAGTTATAGCAAGTAGTACATTAAACTGATGTAAACAAAACGAAAAGTACACATATTGGTTGACAATAAAAAGAAAATGTTATTTACTGTTTTCTGAAATTATATGCTTTTACAAGTACAAAAGATATTTGAAAAACTCTCATACTTTTGTTTATTGACTTTTCATCGATATTCTGTCAATCACTGATCAGAATCCAGGTTAATTATATTGTTTAACGGACATTTTTCTTACGAACTGATTACAGATTGAAAATAATTCAGACAAAATGGGCCAGTGAGAAGCGTTTACTTCTGACAGAACTTTCCATAGGTGCACTGGTAAAATTCAGTTCATATTTAAATGATACCTATTGTTTCGTCTCTAAATGATTACTGGATATATTCACTCTTAAGTGGGTTAGAAGAACGCAACTGATTTCTTTGTTACAAAAGGTTAAGCAGAAAAAAGTGGAAACTTTGTGGATTCTTTCTTCTTAAGAATTCATTGTCAGAGTACCAGTTTTATAAATAAAAATATTAAAATGATGTTTGAGAATGGAAACTGGTTAGAAAAAAGAAACCAATCTACTTATTTGTCCCGTTTAAAAATTCCATCGTAAGGTAATTTAAGGTACTGAATGGTGCGTCAAATTACAGTTTACTCTGAAATAAAGCTGTTTACCCTAAAGATATATGCAATAATATTTGTTGGCATTGATTGATATACAAGAGACACAAGTCCAACTCATTTATTTATTCTAGCCTGAATTGAAACTTTTTATTTCACTACTAACGTTTAACAAGTGATATTAGTCAGTTACTCAGAATTATCTTTATATCATGTGCTCTAGATCAGTTTGTAGTTTAATTTAATTACGCTTTTCGTCTCTTCTTATAACTGCTTAGGTTTTATCATTTTATGCTGTAGATTATTTTAGTATATCCACTTAATACGTGACAAGAAAAACGTGAGTTTAGAAACAAACTCCTAATAATACCTTAGGAATCCTATCTGAAACTAAATGACCTCTGAGGGCTTGGTTGTTTTTCCTTTGGGTGTATTGATACCCTACTTATTTGCACAGGGATTTCTACACGAGTTACTGAAGATGGCTTTATACTAGCTTATTAGGATATGATTTTGATGCTTATCGATGACAGGGATTAATGGAAACGTTTATGTACCGTGCTTTTTATATCGCTAACAGCCTTTCATTATTGAGTATAACTACACTATTCAGATTACAGCACCAGTCTTGATATTGTTCACTTTTTTCTAAATTTAATAAAACATTACTTGTTCTAAAATACACTTTACAACAGTTCTGCTATGGTGAAAATACTTTAATTTGCATGAGTTTAAATGGTTCGAAAACTGAATATAAAAGTTTGTAAACTAACCTTTTTCACTGAGCTTCAAATCCCAAAAATAGGCTCACCCTCCTTTTTTACATTAGCTGACTTTGTAACCAATGATTAGATAGCTTTTATTCATTATATCATAATCCTACACACCTCATGTAAACAACCTCATCATTTCCATGTTTTTACTATCAAAACTTATATGATTTAATCTTCATGTGCTTGAACAATTTATTTAGCATTTAACAGACATTTATTATATCATATTTGATCCATATAAGTTCACGTTTTACAGAATCCATGATCAAACATTAAACTTGATTGATTCTACAATTTAATTCATATACATACTACATGCTGATCATTCCAACATTTATAGTCAATTTCAGATTTATAAATCGGAATTAAAAAAATAAGAAATTAGCTGAAAAAACACTTTGACTAATCGTTGAAAATGATCTAACTTCCATAGCAAATATATTTATTAGTTTGAACCGATAATGAAAATTATAATAAACGTCACTCCGTTATAAAATTTGCATATTTCTGTAATATGATATTCAGGATTGAAATGATATGTGATCATTGGAATGTAATCTTTTAGTATAAATATTCTGACAAAGTCTATATATACAATTTGATTATATCATAGATAGTGATTGACTGTTGAATATCAGAAACGAGAAAATAAAGAATGCTACAAATTACGATCAATATCATACCAATCAAAAGTTTTTGGCTCATATGAATCGTTACGAAGTCGAGTAAATGATTAGACTTATAATGTGAAGAATAACATTTGGTTGTATGTATATACAATAGACAAGTCCAAAATGAGATCAGACACCTATTGTATATTCTGCTAATATCAATTACTCAAATATCTAGAAGTCTTGTAGATTTAAATATGATAAAACTTTGGATTATTTGACATTTTTAATTTTTCATAGTCTGGATATAATTTACAATCATAATAAAACAGTTTTCATTCGAAATCTGTTCATATATGAATCTTATTTATTGAATTCATAACCATTTCATAGGAAAAACAAAACTACATGCTTTCGATTCTTGAAGACGAGATTTACTGATATGAATGCTATAATTATGATTATTATTTATCAAATCAACTTTCTGTCAGTTTAATAATGTTGTTGTTCTTTTTTTCACCTCTCGTTTTTTTACAGAAGATAATAATTCATTACAACCGTGGGATTCCTCAGAATATAATCCTCGAAATCGTGTCATCGCACCTTATAAACGTCGACAAATATTTCGTTTCGGTAAACGAAACTCACATCCAACAGTCTACAAAGAAATGGATGAATTACCTAGTCTATGGGATATTTATCGTAAATGATAAACTGACAATGTCATGTTTTTTTTAAACAAAAGAAATCTATGTATGATTAAAATAAAATACACTGAATAATTGAGATTTATTATAATCAATTATTTTTAATCTGTCTAATTTAAAGTGAATTTTAAAAGAAAAACATTGAATAATGCAGCATCATTTTAAAAACATTCTTATTTTACCGTTTCGTATAAGCAATAACAACCAAAAGGAAAAACACCTTTAGATATTGATCATATTTCTATGTTGCATCAAAATGTTACTTATAGTGTATTTCCTTTTCATAAAATGTATAACAAAGGATGTTTATTGCAGTTACAAAATTTGGATCTAGTTGTTAGTAAAGTAGCTGTACGATTACATAATTAAAAACAAGCGAAACAAACCTAATAAGTTATTGAAAACAAAATGAAGACAAATCAGTGGAGAAAATTCTCTGTTTAAGGCGATATCATTTACCAAATCTTTACAATAGTGTTAATAGTTATTCAGAATATATAAGTCTATAATAAAATATAAGATTCTTCTATCATAGAAAGTGATTGAAAACGTTTTCCGGTATCAGGAACTGATTACATAACAGGCCAATGTCAAAATAAATTACGGATATACATATTGATTAACTGGATTAAATTGTTTGAATTTTACTCACAAAATGTCTATCAGTTTAATAATGGAAATTTTTTGACAAAAATTAGTCATAAGACTAATATAAGTAACAGGCTACCAATCATCTTAGATTACAAGTGTTACTCACTAAACTGTTCACCACTGTACGCTCTTTATAACTGTTAAAGAAACGTAAATTGATTAAAATCCTGTGTGTATAAATTTATATAAAAGTTCTTGTTGAAACTAAAATGTCACATATGTGAATATGGAAAAAGGTCAGTTTCTGCGCATTAAATCATGTTTAGTGATATCTCAATCGTAAATTATCTAAATAGAAAGTCATATCTCCATAAAACACAATCAATAACTTAAGATCCTAAAAGTAGAAATTCTATCCATTTTATTTACAAGTTTTTGTTAGGTAGATTGATAAAACACTAACTAAGTAGTACAAGTTAACAAAAATCTACTTGCGTACTTACCTACTTACTTACTTACACCTGTTACTCCCAATGGAACATAGGCCGCCGACCAGCATTCTTCAACCCACTCTATCCTGGGCATTCCTTTCCAGTTCTATCCAACTTCTGTTCATTCTTCACATGTCTGTCTCTATTTCTCAGCATAATGTGTTCTTCGGTCTCCCTCTTCTCCCTTGGCCTTGAGGATTTCAAGTGAGAGCTTATCTTGTGACACAGTTCGGTGCTTTCCTCAATGTGTGTCCTATCCACTTCCAGAGCTCCTTCCTGATTTCTTCCTCCTCTGAGATTTGGTTTCTTCTCTCCCACAGTAGGTTGTTGCTGATAGTGTCTGGTCAACAGATCCGAAGTATTTTGCGTAGACAGCTGCTGATAAACACTTGTATCTTCCGGATGTTCGCTTTCGTAGTTCTCCAGGTTTCCTCTATCTATCTTGACATTTGTATTAAAAATCCTGACCTTGGTGTTGGTTGAAAGTTGTCTTGAGTTCGAGATGTTCCTCAGTTGTAAATATGCTGCTCTTGTTTTTCAGATCTGCGCCTTCACATCTGCATCAGATCCACCGTGTTCATCAATGATGCCATCCAGATATGTAAAGATTTTACATTTTTCAAATCTCCGTAGAAAACTAACTCGCTAAAAAACACTAACCATTTAAACAAAAATCTACAAAATACATGAAGTGTTTCTTTTTTTATTAAAAAGAGCAAATGTATTTTGTTCTTCAAGCTACTTACTACAAGTAAAGATATAAATAAAAACACGAGCATTTGTAACTAAGTTATGAAGCTGTTTATCATCATTTAATATACAACTTTCATTTTTGGATCTCGTGATGAATGGCCATTGTTTGAAGTTTGACATAAATTTTGAATAAAGAACAACTACATATATGCTTCAGTTAAATAATTACGTCTTATCACTTCATACTATTTGAGATCATTACCAAAGACATTTGAAGAAATGTATTTTCAAAAAATATGGTCCCAGTGAGTCAGTTGTTCATACGAGAAAATAATGAGTAAACCTAATGAAATATATAAAACCTTGATAGGAAAAATGAATACACTACATTTCCCAGTGAAATGTTCATTTCAAATGATTGGTATTTAACTGGTTTATTTGTCAACACCTAATAAGCTGGAAAATAAATATTATTTTCAATCAGCTCCGTTTAACCAATGTGATGCTAGTTACCATTTACCAGTGTCATTTTAAACTGTATACAACAATGATATATGAACAGGTAATTTCAATGGTTGTAAATAATTTACAAAACACATTAAAACTAAATTATATGCAACTTGACATTCATCAACAAGGCATATTTGGTATCTGATATTATATAGTTCCAGAACTTGTCACTCAACGCTACAAATGAATGCAGTCCTAGTAACTAGAAACATTTCAGTAATTTAGACTTTTAGTTAATTGAGTATTAGCAGAAGATACTGTGATAAATAAGAAAAACACTGACAATCGGACTTATGAAATACCAATCTTCCAGTTAGTTATATTTTAGACAAGATATATTTGTGTTTATTTTGTGTCAAAGATTTTGTTAATAAGCTCTCAATTCTGTCATATAGAACGACTCGTTTTAACTGACCCACTATTCGGCTTTTTAATATCCGCTCACTGTGAACATTTTGTGATGATAATTCGGGTTTGCGAGCAATTGATCGCAATCAACAAAATTCACACATCTGTTTAAATGAGTGGGGATCATGGCCAAAAGTTAACACATCAATTTTAATTGATTAGTTGGAATCGTCTCCTCAATTCTAAAGAATCTGGTTCGTTAAAACTCCGAATAATGAGGAAAAGATTTCAAAACGATGAAATTCTGTATTCCAGTCACATGCTAATAAGAAACTGATCAATTTATGACAAAATCAGGAACGGTTGGACGATGACTGACGAAGCCAAGCACGTTTGTTAATAGCAGATTTTCGGAACCGCTGCACATAGTGCAGTGGGAAGACCTGTTTTCTATACTCGTTCAGCAAGATAGCGTTTAGAAATAAACTCTCAATCGTTCATTTGGGTAAATGATTAAAATGAAAAAAATCTCATTACAAGAAAGTTGCATTTTTGAAGCAAACTGCAATTTTACTATCCTTCAGATACTATAACAAAGGAGTTAAGTCGCAAATCACTAACCTTTTGGCACAAACTGTTCAGAGCTGAATTTTGTCACTAGTTGATATCAACTGAACATATAACCATAAATGAAGGGCTGCAAGAAAGCTGTTTCGTCTTGGTTTAGTATTTCCCATCAGTACCTATATGCGTGTTAAATCATTGAGCTTCAGGCTATTCGATGAACGGAAATCCAACAGTTCACATATGCAACCACATCAACCCTTGATTTTTATTGTTTCTGAAGAATGGGCTACAACGTACACATACATTTCGTAAGTTCTAATCCTTTTCTTTGCTTACAAAATATCATACAATCGGCCGATTAATACTTCATGAATTTTTGAAGAGTAGACATTTCTAGAACTTCTCTTTAATGACAAACTAATAATCGTGGAGATAATATGAGATGATGATTACTGAAATTATATCAAAATCCTCAAATATTCGTAAGAAAAACGTATGGTTAAAAAAAATAGTAATTTTCTGTTGAATTTAATATGTTTACAACGTCTTTTAATATTTCTTGTGATGGTTTTACGGTAGTCATGCTAACTGATGATCAATACTGAGATAAATGTCTGACTTCCTAGTAAGACCTTTAAATCGCAGAAATTCAGTCACTTCTAGCATAAGACGTGGACATTAGATGATTGTTACGTTGTATCATGAGTTCACTGAGGTAAGAAATGTGAACCATTGGATTCTGATTCAATGATATAGATGGAACGACAACAGTACGAGACTCTGACATTTCATGTCCTACCTCCGTTATCCCTATACGCACAACGTCGTGAAGAGTTGTGTTTTTTCAAAAAGACTATTCAACTCACTTGTAAATAAGCTCTCCTTTTTAACCATTCATGTAGAATTAAGTTTATTCTTTTACTTTAAGCAAAACTTAATCCACCTTCTTGAGAATTTTTCTGTTTATGTTATTATTAGTTCTAATAAGAAAACTTAATTAATAGTTATGATCATGTTATATGTCTAAATAATAAAAAAATCCCAAAGCTTATTCAAACTTATTGTATTTTATGTACTTATATTTTGATTATTAATATAACTAAAAATGTTGTCATGCTAAACTTATGACTGGAGAAAGGTCATTGACTATCTTTGCTAATAATTGCATGATTAAGTTTTTTTCAATATCAAGTAATATAGATTTGTATTTCATAAAGTAGCGAATTAACTTCCTGTCATCAATCATTTTTAACATAAAATTACTTTCTTCTCAGGACTCGGTTATGATTTAAAATTTAACATAATTTTTATTATTATGAATGTTAGTGAACTTTAATAACAATAACACAAATAGTCATTTCAATGGATAGATGAATTTCCAATCTCTTCTACTTTGAAAAGTATATTTTCTTGTTTTGTATCAAAAGGTCAAAATATTTCTATGTAGAAATAAATGTTTGATTTATCTGTTCATATATTTTCATCACAAATCAGATACTTGAAGGTCTAATACTTCATCACTATCTAACATGAAAGTGTTTTCATTCACTTGGCATTGTTTGGCTTGTATCTTCCCATTGAGGTTTAAGACGGCAATTGATCAGTCTGCTATTGGCATAGGTGCATACTGTGCGTATGGCTCGATATTACCTTAGCAGACTGATCAATTGCAGTCTTAAACCTCAATGGGAAGATACAAGCCAAACAATACCAAGTGAATGCAAATTCACCCCATTGTACAAGCAAGTGGCTATCAGGACTCAGTAGATGAGCAGATAATGCGATGGCGTTTGAAGCGAATGGTACTGGGTTCGAGTCCCAGAGTGAACATGAACTCGGAGACGCAAACACATCCAGCTGACGAGTCCCAAATAGGACGAAACGCGCGCCCTGGATTCCACTGCTAGCCATTATCCATGATGAGATTGATTTGTTTTAAACCGGTTGTTAAGAAATTATGAATTTCCCGAAAAATAGATTAAGTTATAGATAGCATTCATTGACAAAATATGATCAAAATCTTGAAAAGACTAATGTTTAACATGATGACTGCCTTCTGACCCTTAACCACCTAAATTTAAATATAGTATATCACAATCGTTGATCATTCGACCAATAGGTGGATTATAAATTTATGGGTAGAACTCATTCGGGGACTAGACTATATTAGATTGCTTGATTTTCTGGAATCAATTACTTTCAGTGTTTTTGTAATAAACAAAACCAATTCCTTTAAAATACACATTAGTTTAAAGCTATTTTATCATTTCTCAAGACATGAATTCTTTATCGTATTACATGACTTCACCTATGTAGACCATACACAAAGTCACTTTAGGGGTTCATCTGAATATTGCAAATTATTTGATAAATAACATAGGTATCATGATAGAGACACTATCCAATCAGATAGTTGTTAGTGGAACTCTTAGTTTATATATTCATTCAAAATACGAGCTCTTGGTTCATAGTACTAATTACCAGTTTTAGAATTAGCTTGAACAGTGAGTGATATGTTATTTTTATTTGAGAATGATATTACACTTTTATATGTGATGCTACTAAAAAACAAAATTATTTTCCAATATACTAGTGACTTTTGATGGTTAAAAAAGCTTTCATTTGGTTATAGATTTATTTCATAATAGATTGGTGCAAGAAGCAATGAGTTTTTTAATTGAATCTCAAAAGGAAAAGTGATATAAATTTATTATGACTTTGAAGTGTGTATATATAGAGCTTCCATTTTTCCACTTTCTCATTCGTATTCCATGCAACTAGTACCAAAAAACTAGACAAACAGATTGAACTGGTGTCATCTGAGATCCAGTAATATAACCAATTCATTGATCTGTAACTTAAAATTTCCTAAAGCATTACGATATTTGGTTAAAACGGTAACAGAGTATCAATAGGATTGCATGTATTATAATTTATTGTGATAAATTTAGGTAAAACACAAATAAAATTATAAGTGACGAATGGGTGAGTAGATGTATGGCTTTACCTTGTTGACTGACTTTGGTTAGATGATCATCGAAAACCAGGATGTCCTGGACAGATCTTCATTTTTATATGAGACTATTCAGTGACGTACATACACGAATAAACCAACAGTCGAACCCATAGTCTTCATTGATCCTCTTAAGCACTCAGCCCTCTGATCACTCTCTTAAGATCCAAGAGTCAGTCAATTCTTGACACTGTGCGACTATCATTTATTGATATTAGTAATATTTAAATTTTATTCGTCACGGTTTCCAACTAGAACTCAGAGAATTACCTTTCATAGTAGGTCATCATTAATCACGTCGTGATTCCTTAGTATAATGGATTCTGAGTATTTTCACAACCAAGAAAAACTTACCCCAGAAAGGGAAATAGAACTGAGAAAAATTATGGGAATAACGAAATGCTCTGAAAAATAAATTTAAAAAGTTAAGTAAACCACATAACATGTAAAAGTCACTCTATCTATAATAAAATTGTCCATATTACAGAAATACATCAGTTGGAGGACCAGTAAAAGCTAAGAAGGACTACATATCTGTTGTGGTTATTTCTAGAGCTTCTTAGAATTGATCAAACCCAAATTTTCAAGTAACAGTGTCATTAAGAATGATGGCGAATTTGTCATTTTCAACAAAAACCTATTTTTGTCTAACTTCTTGAGCACACTCCCAGCTTTACTAATAATTTTTATAACCAATAAAATCCTAAAGTGATCAGATGATCAAAGCTTTACGAGGATGAAAGGAAATGTACATTCGTTCCATTGATCTCTTCTTGGTTCAGCAAAAAGTAAGAAAAAATACTTAAATATTTTCACGGATTGGAAAAGTATGTGTCAGTGACAAAAAGAACAGATTTAGTTTTCAACTTGTTGAATACTTACAATGATTTCAGATTGTCACCAAATGAACATACCACATAACAAGAGAAAACTGCGAGATGAAGTAGTCTTAACCAGACTGCCATTTCAATGTGGTCGATTTGCAGAAGCGATATTTGTAAACCAACAATCAGTTAATATGATTGAAATATTGTGTGAGTAGAACAAATACCCAATCTCTATGTTTACATTTTCAGTCTGTGATTTCCTCTCTATCTTGTTATTCTGTTAAAGAGAGGAAGAACAAAGATCGGTACAGAATAGTATGAGTTCATTTTATTTCGTTAGGTTTGCATCAGCTGCTTACAACCTAAAATATTCATATTATTCTGCATCAATCTTTGTTCTTGCTCTCTTTAAGGTAATAAAGGGAACTTGTTATTGTGATTTGCCTTTCTTAAATTTCACAGATGGATTATTTATATCTAACTGCACAAGAATTGAAAAGTGATGAAAAAAAGTGTTTAACTGATCCTTTATTGAACGGTTTCGATTCATTGGTCTACCTTGCCTTCTATCTACGTCTAATAAAGTTTTCATTTAAGTTTATTTACTTTATAGACCTACTGCGTATCAGATAACGAGTGTTTATTAATGGGTTTTTATTACACAAAATGAATTTATTTTTCATTTGGTATTTATACTACTTTATAATAATATGTAACAATATAAGGCAGTTATCATACTTTTTCATCCGCTAAAATATTTTAGATGTGATCAAAACATATTAAAATAATTAGACAGATTTAATCAGTAAATTAAAAAAAACAATCTTTGTGGGAATCCAGCAGGCAGATATTTGCTTGTATAGAGATAATGAATTTTGACTACATTTGCAAATAATATTTACCATTATTCATATCTTAAAGTCTCATTTCATCAGTACGGTATTTGCTTTCATGATATATATATATATATCTTTATAGTAATGATAATAAAACAGACTACTGATTATTTCGATACTACTGATATTTATGCTTTACATAATTTCATGGTCAACTGTTTACTATAGAGAAAAACAGATTCTTCATGAAACCCAGATCTCTGTGATACGCTTACTGTGAAGATGATCACTGTAACGATAATTTGAATCAAAATACGACAGCTTTTTACTCTGTTAAACCCGACTACTTCAAAAGACGATACAGTTACACTGAAGATCAAATAAACTGAGTGAATTAGTAAGTATAAAATGTAAAAACTCAATACTGAAAATCGACAAACAAAAATCACATTACTACAATAGGTGGATTTTAAAAATGACCTTTTTCAAGTTTGTAGTGTTCACCCGAACAGCGGCGTGCTGTAAAAATGTCGAGTTAGACATTTTTATAACTGTTGAAGTACTGTTCACTTTCAGACGGCCAGAACACTCCATTTATTCAGTTTACAGGGTTCACTTAATGAACGATTTGTTAAACGTGACGTCCAGGAAGGAGTTCAATATCATTACGTATCATTCCAAATATTTGTCTATTTATTATTCTAATCGAAACCAATTAAACTTAAAAGACATGTTCAAGTACAGCCAAGCAATGTATCCGATGTTGAAATCCAATCGATCAAATTGTATTTGAATTAATCCAAATTACACCGCGTTAGAGTATTTTTTATTTGATGCTAGGTGGTTGAAGGCATGGGAAGGGAACCCAGGCTGCGCGTTAATTGTGAGTACATCTCGCATACAAATATCAGCTATTTAAACCAGGATTTAAAGTATTTAATAGTTTGTCATAATTGATAATTTGTAGAACCTTGTAATTTAGCAACAGTTATCTCATCAAAAAAACTTTGATGTCATTTGATTGTTTAAGAAATAAGTTTACTGTTAAAAACTGAGAAATAATCTACTAGTTTTGCCGTGAATAAGACGAAGACCAAAAAGGGACATACAAATAAACAAAAATCTAGAAACATCAAAGTGATAGTCTTACAAAAAGAATAATAAATTAATGACAACCAAGTTGGTCATCACAGTATTCTGTTACATTTAAAATAATGGAGTTCATTTGGTGTACATGTATTGTCTGGCGAAATTCTTTTGACGAATTTCCTTAATTTTGGCATTGATTTGTTTGTAGTCATCTTCACCTACATCAGTGAATGTTTTCTGAGTAATATCATCTGAATTTACGAAATGCATTTTAATAACATTGTTATCCCTAGGCTCTGAAAATAAATTAAACCACACATGATTATTTAACCAATCAATCGGATTTTCCAACGTCTGTTGATTACCATTAGTAGGAAAGGTAATTTTAGTAGTTGAAGCATCACGGGCTCTCTGACATGCAGCACATTTGTTTTCATTAATTATTCTTCGTAAATTCTTTAGTAAAGACAGTTCACATTCTTTAGAATTCGCAACTTTTACCAAATCAATATATTTTGGTGTGAGACGATGAATTAATGGACCGATTTGTTCGTTAACTTGACTGAGGAGTCGATTATGTACAATAGTTTGATACCACATTGGATATATAGACCATTTACCGTTTGTTCTTTGACACAATGCCCAGTCACTTAAATTCAAATAAACGAAAATTAATATATCATTCCACGAATGCTCAGTATGATTTGACTGATAATGAACTAGTGCACGTGTCATGTAAAATTCTGATTGAAATGGCGCCAAACGAATACAGCGATCTAAATAATTTATTGCCTTTGACCAGTCACTTTGTTTAATTCTACTTTTACTTAACTGGTAACAAGCTAAGCAGATTCTTCCATTGATTGAATTAATACTTTCGGGAATTTTCATCACATTGTTATCACAAATGCAATGATTAGAATCGGTCAATAGTTTACTAATTATTGACTTTGCGTTTTCATATTCTTCAAGTGATTTTTCATAATTATTTAGAAAATATTGACAATCAGCAGATAAAATCAATAATCTATAATTTTTAGGATCCACTTCCAAGAGTTGACGAGTTAATGCATTTGATTCTTGGTATTTCTCTTGTTTTAATAGTCTTATTGCATAAGAGCTCATTGTAAGAAATAATTGATTTCTCCCTAATTGGTACAGATCAGCTGAGTTCGTATTTTACATCAGACTTTATTAAAAATTCATACCATTAATAAATAATTATCATTACTCAAGTGTGTGTAACAGAGACTAAAACTGAAGTAATAAGGCGAACAATGAAATGTACTGGATATAACAGCATAAAGTTACGTTTAAAATCCTATACAGTAAGCATAGATAAAGAAACTGCTACATGTTAAATACTATTTTAAGGTTAGAACACACACACCTACGAGGTAAATATAATCTCGAGGTCAAGATAGGATCTCCCATTAGTATTTCCTCTGGAATTTCCATATTTTCACTTTCCAAATTATTTATACATTTTGTTATCAAATCCACATCGTCATCACTACGTTTCATTGATTCATAAACTTGTAAAACACCCATCAATGTTACCAATGTTCCTGGTGTGATAGATGAGTTAGTAATTAAATCTTTCATCTGAGCATATTGATCAATGAAGCTTCTGCCTAACTCATATTGTTTCAGGGCTTCTTCCAATTTTCCTTCATCTTTTAAATCCTTTCCATGAACTATGTGAAGCTGACCAGTCATCAATAAAGCATTTTCATATTCTATACGATCCAAACTTACAGACATGATAGATGGTGACTCCAAAGCAACGTTTGTTAAATCTCGATTGACTGACGTAGTGTCTAGTGTATTTGACCCTAAAGATATGGCCAAGTGTAGGTCGCTTATTGCATGCTGATAAGCTAATAGCTTATGTAAATTGAATAATTGAGAAAGCGAAAACAAAACAAAAATGGCAGAAAACGCTGGTTTTTAGACAATTTTAATAATACATATGGCATTAAATGCATCAAGATAGCTGATAGCTTGATATATTTTCAATCCTATAGGCAGTTTTGCTTTAACAAGGTCATAGAAACCCTACACAGATGACTTCTAACTGGTTGAGAGCCAAACAAATCCAATTAACAGCACAGGAAAAAACAAAATTTGTTGTGTGACAACACTTCTTGCGAAATAAAATTAATTTTCCTGTTTATGGGCATCAGAATCAAAAACCCAAAATTGTGACTTCAATTCTGTGCCGTACAAAGTTAATGCACTTAAAAAGAATAATAACAATGCTATAATAGTTTGTTTCAGTAACATAGATTATCCAATTGATTTATTGTAAACAACCTCTGGATTCTACATGATCTTTTATTTTAAAATGTAGACAACGTCTTTACGTAAGACCATAAGTACCAGCTGCTTGTAAATCGAAATATACTATGTGGGAACTGACGGAAAATGACAGTTCAAATTATCGTTTAGGCGTTAATCTCAGTATGTCAGAATATTTAAATCAAATTCAGAAGAAGAACTGTCAAATAAACAACTCCTGTTTTATTATTTTTTATGTTCAGTAGTATTCTACCAAGTTTATTCTACAATTTGTTATGCGGATATTGAAAGGACTGTAGCGGTAAATAAATCTCCAAAATAAATAGCCCTGTAAGTTTTCGACATTGGATGCTGACCATCTAGCTGAACGTGCTCGGTCAGGCATCCGCACCAGATCACGTGTGGTAACGCCGTGCTCAACATCTACCGCAATCGCTAGCCAGATTAGATCAGAGAATTCCGATATATTGGTCATCGCCAAATATACTCTTCCGATCTCCTCGACTCTGTCTTTTGATTTCTCTTGGTGGGAACAAATCATATTAGAAGGTGTTACTGGTAGAAGCGTTGTCAAACACTGAATACCTGTGACATCATCATTGGTGAGACCGTCGTGATCTGGTACACCTTATTGCAACTGTGAGTCTGTTCCTTTTTGGGATTTTTATATATAATTGCCTTGTTTTTTTATTTTTTTAAACATTGTGATTTTTTTCGTGTTTTTTCTTGGATATATATATATTTTCCCCTCGTTCATTATCGTACTTCATATTTCATCATGACTGAACAGACACCTAAAGTACTCAAGCTTAAGACCTTGTCCCCACCTTCGTTTCAACTGATGCCTTTCTGGCCCGACAACATCGAAGCCTGGTTTTGCTACGCAGAAGCCGACTTCCACGAGCACGGCGTGATCGACACACGTGCACAATTCCTCGCAGTAGTCAAGGCACTACCGCGCGAATTCAACAGGTACGTAACACCTAGTATGTTTACTAGTGATGTTTCCGATCCTTACGAAATCTTAAAACGCTCGATTCTTAAACGAGGAGACCTAACCGATCGACAAAGGTTAGATCAACTCTTCAATAACATCGACCTGCAACACGGTTCTGCGACAGACATGTTGCAACGGATGAGAGAGGTTATAGGCCCAAGAACTTTCGACGAAGGTCTATTCAAACAACTCTTCTTGTCAAAACTTCCCCAACAGGTGCAAGCAGTTCTGGTCTCGTTCCAGAACAACGCCTTAGACGAGCTAGCTGCATCTGCCGACCGTATTCTAGAAATTACGAAACCTTCTACTACCGAGGTATTTTCAGTCAAAGAAAAGCCTCACACGACTCAGAATGATATAACCGACTTATGTCACACACTCACGCGTTATCTTAGTCTTCGTACCGACCGTAAGAGATCGCGCACACCACGTAGAAGCATTTCTCGTAAGCGATCTGTCTCTAGACCACGAGAGACAGATAACCCCGACTGGTGCTGGTATCATAACCAGTATGGAAAGTTTTCCAGAAATTGCAGAAAACCCTGCAATTTTCCCAACACGAAACCGACTGATTCGAAAAACAATTCGGGAAACTTCCAAGCCGGCACGCGTTAACGGCAACCGTAGCCGGCGAACAAAGCCGTCTGTTATTCGTCACAGATGTGACAACGAGAGTTCGCTACCTCGTCGACACTGGCGCAGAAGTTAGCGTTCTCCCAGCAAATCCTAACGACCGACTTCACGAATCGACTCTAAACTTACAGGCGGCAAACGGAAAACCGATCGCTACGTATGGCAAAAGGTACGTTTACCTTAACGTGGGTTTACGCAAACCCATCCACTGGATTTTCGTTGTTGCAGATGTTTCTATGCCAATCATTGGTATGGACCTTCTACAACACCACAATCTGATCATCGACACTCGCAAACGGAGGCTAGTAGACGGAAACACTAATTTGTCCGTTTGCGTAACTTCTTTTACTGGTTGTAGAGTATCCCCAGTCACAGTTAAGCATATGATAGACCCACTCTATCAACCACTACTCGATAAGTACCCTGGGATACAACAAACTCAACCGAAACTACCGTGTGTAACCAGCAACGTTACACATCACATCACGACTACAGGACCACCTGTATTTTCTAAAGCACGACGACTAGCTCCTGAAAAGCTAAGGTTAGCGAAAAACGAATTCGATCACATGATAGACTTAGGAATCATACGACCGTCAAGTAGCCCATATGCATCTCCGTTGCACATGGTCCCTAAAAAGGACAGCAACGATTGGCGTCCAACTGGTGACTATCGGCGATTGAACGCGAAAACCATTCCCGATCGTTACCCGTTGCCTCACAACTGTCTTTTCGAAAATCGACTTGGTTAAAGCGTATAACCAAATCCCTATGGCTACTGACGACATACCGAAAACAGCTATCATAACTCCCTTCGGACTCTATGAATTTTTGCGAATGCCTTTCGGTCTAAGGAATGCTGCTCAAACATTCCAAAGATTCATAGACGACGTTTTTCGAGGTCTCAACTTCGTACACGCGTATGTTGACGACTGTCTAATCGCAAGTCCGGACAGAGAAACACATCTCAAGCATCTGGATCTTGTTTTCGAACGATTACAAAAACATGGCATAACTGTAAACGTTCAGAAATGCCAATTCGGAACCGACTCATTAGACTTTCTGGGACACACTATCGATGCTCAAGGTATCCGACCCCTTAGAACCAAAGTGGCGGCCATTCTGGATTACCCAGAACCGACCACCGTCAAGCAATTACGCACGTTCAACGGCCTGGTAAGTTTCTATAGACGTTTCATACCGAAATGCGCATTACTTATGAAACCTCTGACCGACCAACTTCGTGGAAATGCGAAATCCATTAATTTGGACGACACCGCACGAAAAGCATTCTCCACAGTTAAGGAACTGATCGCTAAAGCAACAATGCTCGCACATCAGGACACCGAGCACCCATTAGTATCGCAGTAGACGCATCCGACTCGGCAATCGGAGGAGTCTTACAACAATGGGTTAACAACTCCTGGCAACCCTTGGCATTTTTCTCTAGAAGGTTGCTAGACACCGAATCGAGGTACAGCACATTCGGTAGGGAACTCCTAGCTATGTATTGTGCTGTACGGCATTTCCAACACTATATCGAAGGCCGTGAATTCACTCTTTTCACGGACCATAAACCGCTCACTTTCTCGTTAAGCTCTCCTTCTGACAAGTACTCTCCCCGTGAGTCTCGACAACTGGACTACATTTCGCAGTTTACTTCAGATATTCAACACATCTCTGGAGCAAACAATGTAGTTGCAGACGCCTTATCTCGCATAACTTCCTTGAACAGTTTCCAAGGAATCGACCTTCTTAAACTCGCCGAGCTTCAAAAAGAAGACAGTGATCTTCAGCACGAGTTATCGTCCACAACACTTAAACTACGCATCAAACAGATGGGAACAGGTAAGGAAACCTTACTTTGTGACACATCTACAGGTAGGGATCGCCCAATCGTGCCGAAACATTATCGACGCAATGTCTTCAATACATTGCACAAACTTTCTCATCCAGGTGTTCGTGCAACCATCAAGCTTATAGCAGAACGATTTTGCTGGCCTGGCATGAATAAAGACGTGAGGGAGTGGGCACGCTCCTGTGTAAGCTGCCAAAAATCTAAGGTTATCAGACACAATAAATGTCCCTTAGGCTCGTTTAAAACTCCCGATGCTCGTTTCGACCATGTTCATCTGGATTTGGTAGGACCTTTACCAGATTCAAATGGATACTCTTACCTCTTAACCTGCGTAGACCGTTTCACTCGATGGCCAGAAGCAGTACCTATCAAGGACATCACTGCTGAAACAGTGGCCCGCGCCTTCGTCGAACGATGGGTAGCAAACTTCGGCTGCCCTTCAACCATCACTACAGACCGCGGACGTCAGTTTGAATCTGATCTTTTCCGTCGTCTGACCACACTTTTAGGAAGCACTCGCTTCCGAACGACCGCCTACCACCCACAAGCAAACGGGTTGGTAGAACGTTTTCACCGACAACTAAAAGCTTCACTATCAGCTGCAAACGTTTCACAGTGGACCGACGCTCTTCCACTCGTCTTACTAGGTATCCGCAATGCAGTGAAAGCTGACATTGGATACACTGCGGCTCAACTCGTTTATGGAACGACACTTCGACTTCCAGGAGAATTCGTGGATCCTTCGTCCTCTTCAATGAACATGGATCTAACCTCCTACACGAACAGGCTTACAAACGCAATGCGTTCAGTTAAACCTGCTTCCACTCGACCTCAATCAACTGATGTTTTCGTTCAACCTGACTTACGATATAGTACACACGTTTTCGTTCGTCGAGACTCGCATCGACGACCATTCGAATCAGCGTACGAAGGACCTTTCAAAGTTCTTCAACGTGAATCTAAGTACTATATAGT